CTGGCTTGCACTGTGTGGCTCCAGCAAATTCAAGGGGCATTTAGTTCTCAGCTTTCAAAATTTTTAGGTACACAAATTTACTAAAGTAAAAATTAAGAGTTAAAAAAAAATATACTAAATAATGTAGATTACACTTTTTACCAGAGTTACAGTAATAGTCACTTTCTCACAAACATCAGAGATAATTCAGGTCAAAACCAAAATTAAAAAAAAAAAAAAAAATACAAGTTGCCTAATCTGGAAGAATGTAAACATGTAACATGCCCACTTAACTTCAATTTCATTAATGAAATACACATAAGTCCGAACACAACAAAAATACACCCTCAGAAAAAAAAAAAAAAAGAAAAAACTCACACTGTAAAGGTTTAAACAAAATTATAAAAAAAAACATGTAAAACCCAAACAGTTTAAAAACAAAGGTCATCATGTATGTCAACTCTGATTAAAAGTGTAGGTAAATTACATTTGAACACCAGATTACATGACCATGTTGAACAAGAGATATACTGTTACAGAAAGAAACATATAAACGTCTAGAAACCTATAAACGTCTAGAAACCTATAAACGTCTAGTTATCTAATTGTATTGGATACGGGCAAATCTGTACAACTAAAAACTATTGAAGACCTAGGTGTGAGAGAACTGCTGATTTGTTGAAGCTTAAGGTATTCTTGTTTCAAGACCAGTGTTTTGGGGGAGAGCTCCATGTAATGGCAAAGGATAGAATGACTTGGCCCTCAGTTGGTTGAGGGCCTATGTTCCATTGGGGGATAGAAAGGCAGAAGAAGAAAAAGGTATTCTTGAGTGCAATTTGAAAAATTCCACAAAGTGAGTTGACAAAGATTTTGTACATCAAAACTAAGACAAATTTAAGTTCCTTAGATATGTTTTTTTCCCCCCTTGAACAGTATGGCTATAACAGTTCAGTCTACTATAGCAGCACTCTCTTTCTCCCTTCCTCTTTCTCTCTTTGAGTGTGTGTGTGTGTGTGTGTGTGTGTGTGTGTGTGTGTGTGTGTGTGTGTGTGTGTGTGTGAGACGGTGTGTGTGAATATATAAGCAAATGTGTATGTATGTATGTATGTATGTATGTATGTATGTATGTATGTATGTATGTATGTATGTATGTATGTATGTATGTATGTGTGTGTGTGTGTGTGTGTGTGTGTGTGTGTATGTATGTATGTATGTATGTATGTATGTATGTATGTATGTATGTATGTATGTATGTATGTGGATATGTAGGTATGCATGTTTGTGTATATGTGTGTGTATATGTGTGTATGTATGTGCATGTGTGTGTAAGTGAGTGGGTTTAGGTGTGTATGTGAGAGTGTGTGCAAGCATGTGCATACATATCATCACCTATGCTTTATTGATAAAATACAACAGCTGTGTGGAAGATGGGTGTTTGGAAGGCCCAAATGTAAGACGGGCCTCCATGCCCAATTAGTGACCCTTTGAAAATAAAGTTCATTCGTTCTCTCTCTCTCTCTCTCTCTCTCTCTCTCTCTCTCTCTCTCTCTCTCTCTCTCTCTCTCTCTCTCTCTCTCTCTCTCTCTCTCTCTCTCTATATATATATATATATATATATATATATATATATATATATATATATAAATGCAAGCAACGCAAATGAAATAAAATGTAGAACAATATTGTACACACTATATTAAAGTGATGGGTTAGTCAGTGTGCTTGTCAATGGTCTGGGTTCAAATCCTAGCTAGGACAGGAATTTTGACTTATAGCAAGCACTGCCGTGTGCATGAAACAGCCTAATCTTTTTCTTCTTTTGTTCGCTTGAAACAGATGATCTTTATCTGCAGTGTTGTCTCCAGTACAAACTTCACTGTCTGTTGTAATTCAACCAGTGACCCATCAATTTTGGCTTCCACCAGTGTCTTTCTTGGCCAAAAGTTTTGCATGTATCTGTGACAGACGTGGGAGCGTGATCTGTTGTCTCAGGTGCCAATCCATATGTACTCATGGCTGATTCGCTGGTCTTAACTTTTGTGTACATGGGGCTGCGAAGTTGATTGTGTCCTGTTCTAAGACATAGAATGATGACTTGCTCTGGTCTGTCCATTATATTGTAATTGTCTTTTGCCAGTTTTGGTGGCTTTCTGAATGATTTGATTATTCTCTTCTTCTGTTCAGAGACTGTTATGCCGGGTTGTTCTTGATATATAACCTTAGCTATTTTATCAGCTCTTTCATTTCTAGAAACTCCACAGTGGGATAGCATTCACTGCATAGTTACTTATACCACTTGGCTATTTTGGAGAGTAATTTCCATACACCTGGTAATTTTCAAGATTCGAGTGCCTAAAGTACCCCTCGGAATACCTCGCGGTGTGAAACAGGATATATATTTAGCAGTTTCTCTGCTGCTGTTTTGATAGCTTGAACTTCTGCATCATAGTTGTGACGGTGATTTCCTGTTGGTATTTTGGCTGTATATCTGGTATTATTTGGATGCTCAGTGTACACTCCTACTCCTCAAATGCCTAATAAAACAGGCGTTGGAAAATAGAGAACTTTCTGGAAATTGTCTAGGACAGAAAAGTATCTCATGATGACCTGACTTATAGAGGCCTGAATCATCAGGACTTTGTGTGGGTCTATTATCTAGGTAATCCTGGGCTGTATGAAAACATATGAGCTGATATGCTTGCTTGAAAAAGCACCAATGAGTGGAACATGAGTAAGAAATGGATGCATTATTGACACAAAGACTGGGACATTAGTGCGATATGGAGGGGATATATACCAATGACTGGTACATTAGTGAGAAATGGAGGGGATATGTACCAATCACTGGGAAATTATTGAGAAATGTAGGGGATATGCACCAATCACTGGGACATTAGTGAGAAATGGATGGGATGTGCACCAATGACTGGGACATTAGTGAGAAATGGATGGGATGTGCACCAATGACTGGGACATTAGTGAGAAATGGATGGGATGTGCACCAATGACTGGGACATTAGTGAGAAATGGAGGGGATATGCACCAATGACTGGGACATTAGTGAGAAATGGAGGGGATATGCACCAATCACTGGGACATTAGTCAGAAATGTAGGGGATATGCACCAATGACTTGGACATTAGTCAGAAATGTAGGGGATATGCACCAATGACTGGGACATTAGTCAGAAATGGAGGGGATATGCACCAATGACTTTGACATTAGTCAGAAATGGATGGGATATGCACCAATGACTGGTACATTAGTGAGAAATGGAGGGGATATGTACCAATGACTGGGACATTAGTAAGAAATGGAGGGGATATGCACCAATGACTGGGACATTAGTGAGAAATGGAGGGGATATGCACCAATGACTTGGACATTAGTCAGAAATGGAGGGGATATGCACCAATGACTTGGACATTAGTCAGAAATGGATGGGATATGCACCAATGACTGGGACATTAGTGAGAAATGGAGGGGATATGCGCCAATAAGTGGGACATTAGTCAGAAATGGATGGGATATGCACCAATGACTGGGACATTAGTAAGAAATCAAGGAGATATGCACCAATGAGTGGGACATTAGTCAGAAATGGATGGGATATGCACCAATGACTGGGACATTAGTCAGAAATGGATGGGATATGTACCAATGACTGGGACATTAGTCAGAAATGGATGGGATATGCACCAATGACTGGGACATTAGTCAGAAATGGATGGGATATGTACCAATCACTAGGACATTAGTCAGAAATGGAGGGGATATGTATCAATGACAGGGAAATTGGCAAGAAATGGATGCAATATGAACCAGTGACTGGGACATTAGTGTGATATGAAGGGGATGTGTACCAATGACTGGGACACTGTTTGCGATATGGAGGTGATATGTACTAATGACTGGGTCATTAGTTATAAGGGAGGGGATATGCACCAATGTCTAGGACATTAGTGGGAAATGGAGGGGATATGTATCAATGACAGGGAAATTGGCAAGAAATGGATGCGATATGAACCAATGACTGGGACATTAGTGTGATATGAAGGGGATGTGTACCAATGACTGGGACACTGTTTGCGATATGAAGGTGATATGTACTAATGACTGGGTCATTAGTTATAAAGGAGGGGATATGCACCAATGTCTAGGACATTAGTGGGAAATGTAGGCGATATTCTGTGGTCAACAAATAAGTCTGGTGGGGATTATACATCTCCCAATAAACATTCTTGGTTATAGCTGCAGAGATGGAGAATCTTCTTCTTCTTCACTTCCTCTTCTACCGCTGTGGGTGTCGAGGGAGATATAAGGTTCTGTCTCTAGCTCTTCTGGCCGCCTCGACCATAGGCACATCTTGCTGTTGTAGAGTTTCTCTGATGTTATCCTTCCATCTTGTTCTTGGTCTACCTCGTGCTCCACGTCCTTCTTCTCTTTCCATGTATGGATGGAGAATCAAGAGCAGAAATTATCACAATAACATCATGAGAAAAAAGTCCAAAAGCACGGCTCACTGCTCACAGAAACAATCACCAGTTACACAGTCCAAACTTCTAGCGAGAGACTAGGCACTTATAAATTTTTCCTGAGGCCAGTAATGTCACTTCTCCATCACAAAATCTCAGAGCTCACATGTATGAAGGCCTAGCAGTAGTTTCTGCATTAATGAACCTCAAGGACTCAAGATTATCTTTTTCTTCAGTGATCTCTGGTCATGAGCTTAATCCACTATGGGTCATACACTGGGATGTCATCTCAAGGTCTCTTAGATTTCTCCAAAGCTTAGTTGTCAGGTCGACTTGGGTGAGGCCAGATGTTGGTTCGCAGCTCTGCCAATAGAGGACATTCTTGCAAGACACGTTCTGGAGTCTTTTCAGCATAAAAGCACAGCAGAGAGCAAAGTTTTTGTGTGTGTGTGTGTCTGTCTGTTCAATTCAGGTGTTTGACAAAATCTTGTTCATGGTTACAGAATTTGATCAAAGCCAGACAGAAGGAATGTTAACCAAGCTCACCTTCTTGTTTCTGTGATACCATGTTTTCTGCGGCGACATCACTAAACTGTTGGACGTCTTGTTGAGCTGCAGGCAGCGGTACTATGCTGTCTTGCAATGCATATGAAATTTCTTTTGTAAGAAAACAATTAACTGAGTTAAGATGGCCGGAATCAAAACAGAGATGTGCAAAAGATGTCTGAAAAATTAATAATGCTATTTTTGCCAGACTTGTTACAAATCTTAACTACATGTCTCAGAAGTGATCAAGGGTAACGCTGGAGGACTTGAGGATCCCTGTCTCATCCTGTAAAACAAAGCAGCCACAAAGTTTCACAAACCACGGAAAAGTCTAAAAGAGCAACATGTATTACCCTGGCAGCCAAGAGTAGGGGATGTGGGAGGGTGCTTTTCTAAAATAAAAGATGAATGAGAAGTGAGCTGGTTAGTGAAGTTAATCCCTATGTGCATTTCATGGCTATATTTTGGAGAATAAAGAATAGACACACTGTCCCTACCCTAACAAGCATGTCATAGGAGGCATAAGCTAGCTGTGGGCCTATGTTCCACTCGGGGATAAAGGGTAGAAGAAAGAAATCTTCATTAATCTCTCTCTTTTTGCCACACTTCTTCTTTTCTCTACTCCTGGAATGCCTCACTGCATCAGGACAGGAAGAGATCTTCGGAACGGACCCTTCTGTTCCCTTCGTATTAACATTGCTCTCTGTGTCATTTGATTTGTTGTCTACCTATAAAGTTCAGTATTGGTTCTGTGCCGACACTCCCTGATAATAATGTTTCTAAGTCAACCTTTCCTCACTATCCCTAGCATAGCATGTAAACATTTCATTTCTGTGTTACTGTTTTCCTTTTGTCTTCTGAAGACAGTGTCCATGTCTGACATTGATAGCATAGCGTTGGTAAGAATATTTTAAAAAAAAAAAATCACACTTTACTGCAGAATTCCTGACTTCTGCTGCCACCATAAAGACTTTACAAATGATTTCACCACATAATTTATTCCTCTTTTCCAAAAGCTTCTAGACACTTTACTACAGAAAATTTTTGCTTTTTTTTTAATATTTTACCCCACAATTTGACTTTTGCTTCTAGAGACTTCCCAAATATGTTAAATATTTTACCCCACAATTTTGCGACATATTTGCAAATTCTAGAGACTTCCCAAATATGTTAACTATTGAGGCTTGGTTGCACACAAATTTATCAAATTGGCCTATGATTCTTGCTTGTCTCCATATACTTCCCAAATCTTGTTCACAATTTTAGACCACTCTTCCCAAATCTTGCTTAACAATTTTTTGACACAGACCTTTGAGGCTTGGTAAACCACACACAATCTTGCCTCCAGACATGTCCCAAATCTTGCTCTTCTTCATGTCAAAAATCTGCTTGTGCCGCAGGCGTCGCAGTCTATCATAATGATCGGCAACCCGAAGCCAGGGGGCTCTCAGTCTTCATAACATGTTATGAAAATCAAGTTGTCCGTTAACTTCATACATCTTCTTTTTGGTCTCTTCCCCTCTCTTGGTGTTTTTCGACATGTTGTATTCCCAAATCTGGTTCCAATTCACATTAGGTGACAAAACCATTTTTTCTATGCTTATCAATAAAAATTTAACGATGGGTATGTTCCAATAATCACACTTCACTCAAATCTTTGTTTATTCGCAGCCATTTTCAAACATCTTGTTTAACCACACCTTGTCTCCAGACACTTCCCAAATCTTGTTTAACCACACAATTTTTGACTTTTGTCTCCAGACACTTCCCAAATCTTGTTTAACCACACAATTTTTGACTCTTGCCTCCAGACACTTCCCAAATCTTGTTTAACCATACAATTTTTTACCCTTGTCTCCAGACACTTCACAAATCTTGTTTAACCACACAATTTTTTATTGTGGTGGTTAGCATGACAGTATAGTGATAAGGAGATGATGACATGGTGGTTAGCATGACAGTAGTGGTTAGCAGATGATGACATGGTGGTTAGCATGACAGTATAGTGGTTAGCAGATGATGACTTGGTGGTTAGCATGACAGTATAGTGGTTAGCAGATGATGACATGGTGGTTAGCATGACAGTTTAGTGGTTAGCAGATGATGACATGGTGGTTAGCATGACAATGTAGTTAGCAGATGACATCATGGTGGTTAGCATGACAGTATAGTGATGAGGAGATGATGACAATGTAGTTAGCAGATGATATCATGGTGGTTAGCATGACAGTTTAGTGATTAGCAGATGATGACATGGTGGTTAGCATGACAGTGGTTAGCATGGTGGATGACAGTATAGTGGTTAGAACAGGATGGATGTATAAAGTAGTGGTTAGCATGAGTTTATGGTTACAGTATAATGGTGGTTAGCATTTAACAGTAATAAAGTAGTGACAGTATAAGAGATTTGACAGTAGTGGTTAAGAGATGACAGTATAGTTTACTGATGCCAGAATAGTGGTTAGAGGAAGACAGTATAGTTGATGACAGAAAAGTGGTTAGCAGACAACAGTTATTGTAGTTAGTCATGTGAAGAGATAAGGCAACTCAAGGGGTTAATGTTAAACAGGTGAAGAGGTTAGGCAAATCAAGAGGTTATTGTTAACCAGGTGAAGAGGTTAAGCAACTCAAGAGGTTAATGTTAATCAGGTTACAGGGTTAGGCAACTCAAGGGGTTTATATTAATTGGGTGATGAGGTTAGGCAACTCAAGGGGTTAATGGTAATTGGATGAAGAGGTTAAGCAATTAAAGAGGTTAATTTTAAACAAGGGAAGACATAAGGTAACTCAGGAGGTTAATTTTAATCACATGAAAAAATTAAGTAACTCAAAAGTCCATGTTAATCAGATGAAGAGGTTAGGCAATTCAAGAGGAAATTTTTTTATCAGGTAAAAGGGATAGGCAGCTCAAGAGGTTAATAGGTCAAGAGGTTCAGGAGGTCAATAGGTTAACGTTGATCATGTGAAGAGGTTAGGCAAGTGAAGAGGTTAGGCAAGTCAAGAGGTTAACAGGTCAAGAGGTTAATGTTAATCATGTGAAGAGGTAAGGAAAGTTGAGAGGTTCAGAAGGTCAAGAAGTTAATGTTAATCAAGTGAAGAGTTTAGGCAAGTCAAGAAAAAATTAGGTCAAGGGGTTCAGGAGGTAAAGAGGTTAATGTTAATCAAATAAAGAGGTAAGGAAAGCCAACAGGCTAATAGGTCAAGGGGTTCAGATGGTCAAAAGGTTAATGTTAATCAGGTGAAGAGGTTAGGCAAGTCAACAGGTTAATAGGTCAAGGGGTTCAGGATGTCTAGAGGTTAATGTTCATCAGGTTAAGAGGTTAAAGTTCACCAATCTTCAACCTGTAGCTCTAACAAAACATAAAAAAAAAAAAACATAATGAAATAGCACCTACCTTCGACTATCGTATGGTATGCAAAGTGTAAATACAGTAGAAAGAGCAGATGAAACGTGGCGATTGTACCAATCACAATCAGACGCTCTGTTTTCCCTCGAGCTCGGGATAAGATAATGCCAGCCTGGGGTCAGAAGTTGGTTAAGTTTTAACAGACACAGCAACAATAACTATAACGCTTAAAGGTTGGAAAACCTTCACCCCACCATCCAATACACCTTGATATAATAAAAGTAAAACTCTTGGTAAGATGAAGTTCATCGTTTTGCATGTCTACATGCAGAACAGACTAAAACTACATCTAGGACAATGCCAATTTCCTCTGGTAATCCTAGTCAGTCAGCATTCAATAGAAAAACGATTCACTTCACCCTATAGTTTGCTCGCTCTCCTGTGCCAACGAAAAACACACGTAGCTCACAGTGTCACGCGATGCATTCAACTCAGAAGCTGGGCGACAAAACTATATCTTTCCAGTCTACAAATGGAGCAAAAATGCAACGGCCACTGTCTGGCAGAAAAAAAAACAACAACAATAGGTGGCCATGCCTAGCGTCCATTTTGACCCGAAGCATTATATGAGGGTTAATGAACGGTCACCCCAGCAGTACCCTCATTATTAGCTGGGGAAGGGACTTAGGACATTACATCCACCAGCAGGCGTCACCCCTAAAACGACCTGCCCGCCTTCATTAACGACTTCACCCAACAGCCATGCAGTTCTTTGGCACAAAGGAGACACCTTGAACTTGGGTTTCGGACTGCTGACTCCCTACAAAATGTTATTTTATGTTTTGTTATCACAACTGATGTCACTGCACACTGGGCATACCCATGCGTGCTCAGTTCTCCGAAGCAGCAGCCACTCCAAAGTACTTATACTAATTGTCCCCATGAGAAGCTGGTTATATTGTCTCCTTTCTCGGCCTCGAAGACGGCAAAGACGTGCATCACTATGCTTAACTCCCATGTCACGCAATCGTGTTTGTGTCAGGGATTCCTCATTCTCCACTAGTCCAGTTCGTACAGCGTTGACGATGTCTGCTCTGTCCATGCTTTTTCCCCGCAATCATTAGTGCAGTGCTTGCCAGTTGGTACGCTCGCTCATTTCCCTTCACGCCCGCATGACCCGGTGTGTACATCCAGGTTACTGAGGTTAAGTGCGATTTCCGAATGCTTTCTATCCATTCAGAGCGCATACTGCCTGTTTTTATCTTCTGAAGCATATTCATTGAGTTTGAAACAATTACTGCCTGTGTGGCGGTTTGCTCGGATACTCATGCTAAAGCTCTAGAAGCAGTAGCTATTTCCATCGTCACGCTTGACGTGGTTGTCTGGTAAGCGCCGCTGTCCTCATGTATTGTTTTCCTCCTCCTTTGCGTTGTGTATCCCCATGCTGACCTTGATCCGGGCTTCATGGATCCATCTGTGTAGATGATGATATCTTCTGGGTCTGAATGCTGATCTATCAGGTCCCTTACTTTTGTGTCTACTGCCGCAGGAATCTGATCCCTGCAGTACCTTCCGAGTGTGATGACCACCTTAGAGATGCCATGCATGTCTACTGGTGTATTCTTTCATTCTTTTCCGTGACTGATCACGTCTAGGTCACATTAACCAATTTCCTGTAGAACTATCTATAAACATTTAGACTACAATAGTCTAGAGATATTCTAATGCTGAGCCTTTACATATCTGATGGTTATACTTTCAAACATTCTATGAGTCAACTCAAACATATTTGTAAAACTTTCACACATCCTATAAACCTGTAAAAAAAATTATATGGTTAAACTGTAACATATTCTATGGTTAAACCTTCACATATTCTACGATTAAACCTTCACACAGTCTACTCTTAAACAGCCATATATTCTATTGATAAGCCATCTCATATACTACACTTTATTCACCTATTCTATTGTTAAACCTCCACATATTCTATGGTTAAACATTCACACATTTTACTGGGCCATCCCATATTATGTCCCAGGGGGCTTCAAATGAAAACCTTGAAAGTTGACAGAAATTACAATAACTATGCCACAGTCTTGAATCCTGTCAATTTTCTTAGTAAGGATGTCAAGAGTGTTATGCATGTGACATCACAGTGATGTCATAATGACTGTTTAAAATGACCACCCCAATTCTTGACATGAGCAGCAGCGCTCTGTTACATATTTAAGGTTTTCACCTGAAGCTGTCTTGTAGTTAAACCTCATATTAAAATATCACTGTCAACATCAGAAATGTTTACCAACCATTCTCAGAGTTGAGAGACCTCCAACAGTGGCCCACAGGAAGTAGAAAAACATATGGTCGTGAGAGGTGTGGATGACAGTGCCCAGGAAAAGCACAACACAATGGCCAAACAAAGCATAGCCCTGAAATAGAGATACTGGCCCATAAATTTATGTAACTAGATGTTCTAAAACAATCTTCTTCTTCTTCATGTTCACCAGCTGTCAACTTCAGGGGAAAGTTCTGGTTGTTCGTCCACTTCTGGACTGCAGTCCTGTTCCAGAACCTGAGTGTTGCGTGTGCATCCGTTTTACAGATCTGACTCATTTGTACGCGGACTGCAGATGATTTCCAACTTTGAAGGAAGTTCCCAATTAGTCAACTCTTACGACATGCTTTTAGGAAGGCAGTGGGTTCTATTCTTGTTTTCCCTATAACAGGGCCCCGGAACCCACACGGGTCTCTAAAACAATGAACAGTGTTCTTTATCTTTCACTCTGAAAAAGTTGGCTGTTGCTGTGTGCTTTGGTTTACAGCTAGGCTGCGATATCTGTACCTTTCAGCTCAACACACCTAGTTTCAGAAAATCCTTAATCAGTCGTCTGTAAAAACATGATTCTTAGCATCTCTCACCCCGTAAAGGCTGAAATCTAGGCTTTTTTTTAAATGGCAGGTGGAATGTAGGCAATGTGGGTATAATTACATGGCAGGTTGTGTGTAGGAAATGTGGGTATAATTACATGGCAGGTGGTATGTAGGCAATGTGGGTATAATTACATGGCAGGTTGTGTGTGGGCAATGTGGGTATAAATTACATGGCAGGTTGTATGTAGGAAATGTGGGTATGATTACATCTACATGCCCCTTACTCCCAATGTGACTATTATTTTGGATGAAAAAAAATCAAAATCTTCTGTCGTTGTTACTTTATCTTTGCCGCATAAACAGAAAATTATTACACCACATAGTTGGATGTGGCCACCTTACCAAAACCTTACATTTCTTTGTCAAAGGCAGTGAAAGCAGTTAATTCTTTGCTATGTTTACAATTAGTGATTACACCTCATACTAGACCAGAGATTTGGGTTGGGAGTGGGGCGGAGGGATGCGCTGAACGTTACAAAGTACATTTTTAAAGTGACTTGGAGGCCCCCGATGATGTAATTGCTCGCAGACTTGCCTGTTTGCTTAGTGGTCATCGATTGCTTTTTCTTCTGCTTCTCTTTCTCTAGTTTCTCAGGGGAAAATTTATGAGAAGTGTTTTGTAAAGATGCAAATTTTTTGAAAGAAATTTGCAAAAATTAAATTTTTCAAAGATTCATGGGGGTTGAAAGGCAGTAGCTCTAGCAACCCCTCTCCCCCCACCCAAAAAATAAGGCCTGGAATCCACAAACGGAGAACAGTGTTCAGTTTAACTCATCTGCTCTCTTGTATTTAATCTTGATTAAAGTAAAGAAGAAACAAAGAAAAGCACATTTTTCTTTAACCCAGTGGCGCAATAAGCATATGCTGCTTGCCTCATATTTTACAGACCAATCAGCACGTGTGATAGGGTCAATACTAGGCCCTTGATCTTTACTTCCCCAAACATCACATGGAACCAATTTTAGGCTCATTCAACCTGAGAGACGAGGACGATTATGTAAAAAAAAAAAATTAAAAAAAAAATGTGTCCTGATAAAGATTTGAATCCAAGACCTTCAGACCAGCAGGCGAGCATCTAGCATAGTTTACAAATATATCTCAGCTTAGTTAGTTAGTTAGTTGGGTTATCATCATTGCTCTCCGGACATGTCCATAGGTGCTCAGATCCTCCCCTCAGTATGAACCCCAACGTCCGATGGCTAATAGTACCAGTTCTATGTTGATTAACAAGTCTTCTGGCGTGTCTGGTGTGCGTCTCGTTTTTTGCTGTGCCGATCCTAATTCCCAAGTCTGCCATTCTGGCGAGTGATGTGGATTCACTGCCACCAAAGTCCTCCATCCTTCCCATTTCTCTGAGGGCACTGATATTATCAGCATGATCCATAGGCTGACCGTCGGTAGTGATAGCGGATCCAGCCAACCTGTCAGCTCTTTCATTTCCATTGACGCCTGCGTATCCCGGAACAAAAATAAAGGTGACTCCACACACCGTGGACTTCTGTAGTGATTCAAGCCATTGTCTTCGCACTGAACCTGCCTGAACCCTCCGGATCATACTCATTGAATCACTGAGGATCTCAGCTATGTTGGCATTAGGTAAACAAAAGTATAAATTAGGAAAGCAGATAAAATAGCGTATGAGAAAAAAAATCAACATTATGGTGTTTCTGACATGATTCTTGCATACTTTATACATATATCCAGATTATTCCGATGCTGTAAAAAGGTTTAAAATGGAGAGGGTTATAGAGTTAGATTTGAACCTATGTGGCTCAATCTCTCTTCCTAGACCAGCTAGCTGTTCACGGTCTGCCTCATGGTTTACTTGCTTTTAACTCCATGTGAATGCAATTGTAGCATAAAAGTAAAGGACCCTTTTCCATGGCCTTATATTGTTCATAGAGGGCTCGACCTATATTTTATAGACTAACTGGCATAAGGTGGGTGATGTAGTCAACATCACGCTAGCCACCTTTACTTCCCAGGACTATAACTGGTACCTATTCAAGGCTAGGGTCACCTAGGAAGCCAAGGTCATAAAAAAAAAAAAAATGCCCGGCTCCGTCAAGGACTCGAACCCATGACCTTCCAATCTGCAGGTGAACATCTAGCTGCTACACCACTGTAGCCCAGCAGTAGCATCATCATCATCATCAGGTGCCTTGCCGACTGGCGTGGGCGATCATGCCTCTCCATAATCTGCGATCTCCTGCAGCATGTATCAGTTCGTGTGCCGACACACCTCCATGACATGCAACAAGACTGTCAAGCATCTTTTCTCCTTGTCTTCCTCTATCCCTCCTTCCACAGATCTTTCCAGGGGTCACAACATGTTCTATTTTCCCTCTTCTCATAACATGGCTGAAAAATGATGACTGTCTCCTTCTGATGTCTGTGATAAGTTGTCTTCGGGCTCCCGCCTCTTTCAAAACCTCTTGGTTGCTCTTTTTGGCTGTCCAAGGTATTCTAAGCATTCTTCTGTAAAACCACATCTCCGAGGCCTCTAAGAAATTGTTTGGCCTGCCTACCGATTGTCCAGGATTCACATCCATATGTTAAAACTGGATGTATGTAGCAAGCAAGAATTATTTTTCTAACTCTCAATGACAAGGATATATTGCACAAGATGTTTTTCATTTTATAAAATGCAGTTTTTGCCTTTCCAATTATGTTTCTTATTTCAGTTATGCATCTTCCATCTGATGTTATCCATGTGCCCAGATACTTAAATTTCTGTACTTGTCCTAAAATAACACCATTGACTTTTATTACACATTTAGGAAATAATTTGTTTCTTTGATACCACCATTACTTCTGTCTTCCCATTATTCAAACTAGCGGTAGCATAATGCAATAAAAAAAAAAATGTAACAAGCACAGTATTTCTCACAAGAAGAAGGGAAAAAACTTTAAATTGATTTCTTACCATCATAGAAAGAATCTGTAAGAAGGCGATTCGAACATTGCAAACGTAAGCAACAAACCAGATGATGCTGGAGACTCCTAGCCAGTACATGAAGCAGACGCCAAACGCTGACCCCATCAGTGTACCCTCTTCCTGAAATATAGACAGCATTATATGAATATAACTCAAGCAAGATCTATAAAGTGTCTACAAATTATATTATTGTTCAAGAAAAATCTACACAATGACCACAAATTTATACTATAGTTCATGTAAGATTTATAAAGTGTCTACAAATTATATTATAGTTGAAGAAAAATCTACACAGAGTCCACACATTATAACAATAGTTCAAGTAGGATCTATATAGTGTCCACACATTATGCTATAGTTCAAATAAGATCTATAAAGTTTCTACAGTCTGGAGATTTGGTAAAGAATGACTTTATTTACACCTGACTGGTTTTGGTAAAAGATGACTTTCATTGCTATGGCTGTGCTTAGTAAAAATGTCTGGTAAAGGTTGATTTCATTTACCCATGACTAGTTTTGATAAGGATATGGGGTTAGGCAATAGTAGCCATGCACTTTCTACCCAACGTGTCACTTATATCCTGTGCCCACCTTTATGCTGGTCGGCCCCTGCTCCTCTTTCCTGGCACCATGCCTTCTGCTACTATTCTTACTATTAATTCAAACCCATGCATGGTTGAAATTTGAGGATATGACAACACATGTGATAGAGAACATTAACACTTGCTTTACAATAATACAATCAAAGGCGGAAGAAAAGTAATTAATTTCTTTGTGAATGAACATATTAAAAATGATTATCAACTGCCATGTAGACCTGGATAATGAACAAATTGCTAGAAAAGTCTCTGGAGATGTCTATATACAGAAACACTGGTTATATTTCATGGAAACAAAAACAATCAAATACAGGGTATATAAAGAAACTGGGAATTAAAAGATAGTTGTTAAAAGAATACAAAAGAGACAACTGAAATATTTTGGCCATATTTATAGACAAAACTTGTTTTAAAAACTATGAAGAAATAAAAAGTCAAAGCAGAGGCAAGAAAGCAAGTGGCAGACAGTGATAAAAGTGGAAGGAGAATATAAAGATGTGGACCGAGCAGTAGCCTGAGAGAGTTACAACCAAGTTGAGTCAGTGTTGGAGATTCACTGCAGAGACTGCACCTGATTGGCTGGCTCATTCTGCATGAGGTGTTTGTTATTCATAAAGTTCTATCAATGCTCTAAAATTAAACTAAAATAACAGTTTAAAAAAAAAAAATTTACCATACATATATCCTTATCAAATGCTTTACCAACTAGTGTGGGTAACCAATCGTACACCTTGCTCTCCAACAGCTTGTATCAATTAATCGACTGAAATATGCCATGCCATAACAACAGAAGCATGCACACAATGTTGATAAAAGACTAACAGACGGTGGTGGGCACTCACAGTTCGGCTGTTTTCATCTGATACAGAAACACACAATATTGATAAAAGACTAACAGACGGAGGTGGGCACTCACCACTCGGTGTTCTGCTGTTTTCATCTGATGGGACTCACACATATTGATAAAAGACTAACAGACGGAGGTGGGCACTCACCACTCGGTGTTCTGCTGTTTTCATCTGATACAGAAACACACAATATTGATAAAAGACTAACAGACGGTGGTGGGCACTCACCACTCGGTGTTCTGCTGTTTTCATCTGATACAGAAACACACAATATTGATAAAAGACTAACAGGTGGAGGTGGGCACTCACCACTCGGTGTTCTGCTGTTTTAATCTGATACAGAAACACACAATATTGATAAAAGACTAACAGACGGGGGTGGGCACTCACCACTCGGTGTTCTGCTGTTTTCATCTGATACAGAAACACACAATATTGATAAAAGACTAACAGACGGAGGTGGGCACTCACCACTCGGTGTTCTGCTGTTTTCATCTGATACAGTAGGAGGGCAATCAGGGTCAGGACCACCATGGTTGGACCATACAATTCTTTAGAAACCTGCTGACGTTCATCAGTAGGTCTCAGAGGAACCAAGGAGAACATTAATCTGTCAGACGAATGAAGACAATCATTTCATTCACCATTTTCCTTGTGAGGGGCTCCAGGGCCAAATTTTTTTTTGGGGGGGGGGGGGGGGGGGGGGGAAGAACAGAACCACTGCCTCCCTACGAAGCATGTCTCAAACGGTGGCTAATTATGGATTTTTCCCTCCAAAGTTGGAGCACATCTGCCTAAGCAGGCAAAAAACCTACAGTCTGCGCACAAGAATCCAGATCTTTAAAATGCATGTACAAGCAAACTTTGACTTCTGGAACAAAATTTAAGTCCACAAGTGAATGAACAACCAGAAATTTCCACCAGAGTTTATAGACAGTGAAAGAAGAAGAAGATAATGTAACATTTAAGCATGGGTTACATTTCTTCTTCTTTTCCTTCAGCATTATGAGACCTTGGGGTTTACTGCTACAGATGTCACCCGCCTCCATTCGCCTCTGTAACTGGCCTTCTCTTTTCAGTTGGTGACTCCAGATGTTTGTAGGTCTGCTAGTATATTATCTCCCCATCAACTTCTTGGTTTGCTCCGATTCAACTTGTCTGTGTACACAGTTTTTATTACTCTGTTATCCACCATTCTCTCTATACGGCCTAACATCATCAGTCCACTCATGATGCTAATAATTAGTAGGGATTAAATAGATATCTAACCCTTTCCTCCACAAATGATTTTAAAAAAAATGGGCCATGAACACTCAGGAATTTCATGAAAAATCCTGTAAAAAACAACCAGTCGCTAATAAATTTTAAAAAAATTTGCTTATCTACATTTGTAAAATATTCAGATACATAAAGTAGTAATAAAAAAACAGCAACACACAAACAGAGTAAAGCATTAATTTGAAAACATTACCCAGGGCCTTAAACAAGGTATCAGGTGACTCATGCTGTTACCTCTATCACTGAAACTTACTGGAAAATTCAATATTCAACATTGGTTTTCAAAAAGGGGGCATAACAAAACCCCTCTAAATGCAATTTGTTAGTTGAGTAAAGGACCCTTTTCCACGCCTTTAGGAATAGAGAGCTACACCTATATTTTTCATAGATCAATTGGCACAAGATGGCTGATGTGGTCAGCATCACGCCGGTCACTTTTACTTCCCAGGGACTGCAACCGGTACCCATTCAAGGCTGGGTCGACCTGGGAGCCAAGGTCATTTTTGAAAAAAATGTGTTAGTTACTTTATTCATATCCACGCCTGTTAAACACTGCAAAGGTGCACACAGGACCAATGTGAGAACAAAATATCTTAGACAAAAATGAGGAGAAATACTGGCATCTTGAAAGATCTGAACATCAGAGAAGATTTGGCTTTAAACAGCATCCTGTCCCGGAAGCTGACATATTTTGGTCATATCAAGCGCCATGACGGATTGGAAAAAAATTATAGCAGAAGGCATGGTACCAGGAAGGAGGGGCAGGGGCCGACCAACACGAAGATGGGCACAGGATACAAGTGACTCCTTGAGTATAAAAAGTACATGAATCGGGAGAACTGGTGAGAGACCAAGTTTCTTTTAGGCAGACTGTGAAAGAGAGAGATTTTCTGCAAAGGACCTGTTACATGATGATGATGATGATGTGAGAACAGATCACTGCAGACATGGCCATATATCTGCATTTACAGGACCATGTCACAACCAGAAGAGGCAAGATTAGGCTTTCTCGTGAAGACAGGATGTAGCTTCAAAACACGGGTTAACCCAATTATAAACTGCAGTGGAACCCCTGTAACAGCATGATAAACAAACTGGCAGTGTACTGACTGCACTCACAGATGTAGAGGATTTTTAATATGGTAACAGAATCAGACTCAAGGAATGAAATGGTCAAAATTCTGACAGCAGCCTGTACATTTCAGAACATCTGGTACCCATTTTAAGCTGAGTCCCACCATGGGAGCTCAGGTGAACTGTCCAGGGATTCAGTGAGCCTGTATGTATATTACCCAAAGGGTAAAGTCAAGAAGATCAACTTCACTGCATCAGGTGTTATCCCATTTGGCTCAGTCCTTTCTCAGCAGAACAGCCAGCTGCCTGATGAAAGCATTGCACAAGCACAGACTCATCGAGTGATGTTACCGGGAATAACTGCACTTGTGAGGAAAAAAACCCAATGTATCCTTGTGGCAAATAGCTAGGCCACTTCATCAGGAGACCCCCGACTACACAAAACACACTTTGAACAGTATCTAGAATAAAATATGTTTAGGCACCTCCTTCGAACTTCTTGTGGTTCAACATCAAAGTATGGCCTGAGGATGTCAATGTTTCCATACACAGACCATGCCTTCTTGGCACCTTGAGTTCCTGCTTGCCACATCTTGTGAAGGGAAAAAAAAGCAATAAGAGAACATTTGCTAACATTACAATGCACATCTTTCATGGCAAATCAAGGTTATTCTTCTTCATGTTCTCTTCTTCTGCTTTAGGCATCAAGGGAGACACACAGCTCTGGTAGCCAGCTCGACTGTAGATACTGTTCTGTTGTAGAGTTTCTCTGATGTTAACTTTCTACTGTATCCTTGGTCTACCTCATGCTCTACGGTCTACCTCATGCTCTACATCTTAGTTATTGGAAATAAAGTTTGCAGGTTTGTTGCTGTCTCCTCATTTGGTATATGTCTTGTATGGTATGGCATCACAAGGCATTCTCTCTAAGTGGGCTAACAACTTTATTTGCTGTGTTCATATGTACTGAACTATGATTATTCAAATGAAGTTAGTTAACACCCTGCCACATTTTTTAGAGAAAAAAGCCAGCACAGACATTCATAGTTGAGTTCCGGTATATCTAAGGCTCTATATAGTCTACAAAGTGAAGGAAGGAATGTTTCCACATGTTGAAGTGCACTGGGTAAATGATGCTAAGCCCTAAATCTTTACAGACCATCATCATTCAATGGGCTAATATAATGCTGACCAAATTTACTTCCCATAAAGTTTTTTGGTAAACATTTTTAGCTGTGTCCCCTGGAAGGATGAATATATGTGCTTTCATTTATATTTCTATTATTAGGTCTTATTTAATTTTATATATATATATAGTAAC